TAAGCCGGACGTGGCATTATAACGTAAATAACTTTTCGTATCGTTGATATAGGTGCTGCAAGAAGAATACCGCTATATAGCTATATATTGCTGCACGCATGCTTCCATATACATAGTCGGACGTCATCGTGCACCATGCCTTTACGCAACTCTTAGTTTATTTACAGGCGCATGCTTGTCAAGCTCTTTCTTATTGCATTTACTTTATCATGCCCCTGGGGGGGACATCGGATCTCGATTGGCCCGATCCTGAACCTTTTTCTCCCGCTTGAAGCGATAAACACCGTCGACCTCAACACGCGTGCACGCTTAAAGCGCGTTGAAGTCCACGGCGATTCTCGCGCTTGAAACGTGTAGAATTATGAACGTAATCTACAAGACGTCTCCGACATGCAGCAAGGAGAACTATAGATCGTATCAACACGTTTCAAGCACGAGTAAACGCATAAGGCTCGGGTATGGGCTGGTGGCTATGGCTCGGTGGGCATTACTCACTCTAACGCGAGTTTTTCGATTGCGAGATCCGACTCGATGACCGATATAATTAACTTTTAACAACAGCAACGTTATATTTTCGATCAAGACCCATCAGTTTTTACTTATTATTTGTTTTATTAATGCATTTCAAAAGTAGTGATCAGCACTTCTTCGTACCTTCGTTTGGTTAGCTTCGGAGTGCGATCTGTACGCAAACTCAGCGGAGGTGGTTAAAAGGGAAAGGAGGAGGCCACCTACGAGAATGTAGAAGATTCCAATAACGTTGTGGATATTCAACTCGGGGCTCTGGGAAGCCTCCTAGAAAAAGAAACGGAGGACAATCACAAGCATAAAGCGTCGCCGGATCTGCTTTTCGACGCGGAGCGATACACAATCTCGGCGACGGCGGTGATGATGGCAATGATGAGACCGCCGATGAGAATGAAGAAGATTCCGCCAAAGTTGCTGAGCGACAGCGCGTTGTGCGACGAATCCTGCAAACAAACACCACACACAGGAAAATGAATTTTGTTTTGTTTTTTGATAACCTACCATTTATCTCTCGACCGGATACTCGACTACCTTCTGATCCGACGCTCAATATCCGGACCGGATGCTCGCAAACTCTTCTCGGAAGCAAGAGTCAACATAAGCCTACCTGATTACTGCTGGAGCCAAGACACTCGCTGTTGTCGTCCCACCACTTTGTCTGGAGTTTATGCAGATCACCCATCTCCCGTAACTTCAGCACTGCTAGCGTAAGCTTCTCTCTGAACAGAAGACAAAACATCGAATATAGCTGGGATACGTAGCTGTCCGAGCGAAGCGGGGCCAACGTGAAAACAAGATAACCGCGAAAGAAACTAAGACGAGCATCAAGCTAATAAACACTTCACATTGGCGGCTATCATCGCAATAAACAACGCTCCCCCGACTCTTCGATTTGCCCCCCCGATCTTTCGATTAGTTCGATTTCCCGATTTTTTTGCGGATATCTACTAGATCTCTATTATAACTCTTTTGTTACACCAGAGTGTATATATAACCTAATTTGGAATTCTAGATATAAAACTGAACAACACGGAGTTCCCCAAAACAACATCTGTAAAACATATGGTGAATGGTTCATCCAAGGGTGAATGAAATTATTTTGGGGTGAATGAAATTATTTTGGGGTGAATGAAACTAGACCAAAAACATAAGGAAATTTAGTTGCGGGTGAATGACATTTTATGATAAAGACTCGAAGTTGAACGTAAGTTGAATGACACTGAAGCACTGTGCTACGCTATTGACTCCGTGCCTCGACGTCATCTCAGATATAAAACAGAACAACAGGGAGTTCCTAAAAAATTACATCCGTAAAACATATGCTACTCTATTAACTGCTAGTCTTACTAATAACTACTACTTACTACTTAAATACTAAATTACGCTATTAGATCTCTATTAACTCCGTGCGGCGGCGTTTTCTCACCGCAGTTCGGAGCCGTGGGGAGTGGCGACGCCGTAGCCTTTCGAATCCAGGTTGCTGCCAACTCTCATCGTCGTGCACGGCTTGCGCGTGTTCTCGTAGTCGTTCGTCAGCGACTCGAGCAGGAAGGCGTATTTACCCTGCAGAACACACACACACGGTGTCACGAGCACTGGTCTCTCTCTCTCTCTCTCTCTTTCTCTCTCTCTCTCTCTCTCTCTCTCTCTTCTCTATATATTTATATATATATATATAATATTATATATAGAGAGAGAGAAGAGAGAGAGAGAGAGAGAGAGAGAGAGAAGAGAGAGAAGACGAGAGAGAGAGAGAGAGCAGAGAGAGAGAGAGCAGAGGAGAGGGTTACAGACTTTCCATAATCCTCTGACGTCCTTCATTCCATCCGTCTTTCCCAGCCTTATCTACACCTCTGCTTACCGCGAGAGACGAGAGAGCACGAAGAGACGAGAGAGAGAGAGAGAGAGAAGAGAGAGAGAGTAAGAGAGAGAGTAGAGAAGCGAAGATGATAGATAGATAGATAGATAGATA